AGAGAGAGAGAGAGAGAGAGAGAGAGAGAGAGAGAGAGTCTAATGAAAGTGACACATACCATACAAAGACATATGCAAACACGTAGATTCATTGACTTAAGTTAGTCGCCCGCTGCTAGACTGTTACAGTTCCTCAAGATTGTCCAAAATCCTGAAATTCAAGCTCTTATATAACTAACCTAACTCTTGCACGCTTAAACAAAGCCGTGAATGTTATTTATTCCTTAGCAAAGTAGATGTGACCTCATACTTTGAGCCTTTACTTTCATTACACCTACCAAAATCATAAACATTTCAGAGCATTCGGTAGTAGACCTGAATGTTTTACCAAGATGCAAGGAAGTATAACTACAGAAGTGCGTACAGCTTCCAATTATAATAAAGATGAGGCGGAAAAGTACCTTAGAACGCGTGGACATTCAGACATCTTTCGTCTTACCTGAAAGTAGATAAAATAGATTACAGAAAATGATATCGATTTACATGTATGTATAAATGTATGTATCTATATGTACCATATAGCATGTATGTATAAATGTATGTATCTATATCTACCATATAGTCAGTACACTATCATGCTACCATTGTCATTCTCTATGCGGCAGAAGCAATGCTTTGAGGTAACCAAAAAAAAAGATGGAAAAAAGTAAAGGAGCGGTGGATGATATTGTGGTCTTTCATTTCCATGTATAAACTCCAAAGCAGAACCAAAAGTAAAGCCAGTTTGGAGATATATATACAACAACTACTATGCCTCAATCCTAAAAAAGTGGGGTTGGCTATTTGGAGATATAAAATATGTTTGAATTAAATAAACGAATTGTTTTTTTTTTCTTTAATCCAACAACAGCACATGTTCCACATCTGTTTTGGAAGTAAATGCAGTGTGAAGGACATCAAACAATTGATTCTTACATGACTTCACCTTTGGATCGCTCAAAGCTTCTTTAGTTCTCTGTTTGATCTTTTCACGAGTCTCTGCAAGGTACTGCAGAGTAGTTAAACTACACAAATATATGTTGTAGGAACTAACATATCACCCTCCATATAAAACCTACCTGGACTGTGTTTTCTGCCTTTGTTCCATGGCACTTTTCCTCTGTTTGCTAACCCAATCTTTCTTCTTCTCTCTGCTTCCTTTTCCTTACCATCCTCATAGTCAAAACCCTTGTCTCTGTTGGAATAATCCTCTTCTCGAAAGTCTTCAGCCAAAACTTGCTCCTTGTACATATCAGCACTTTGTTTTCT